GAGAGAAAACTGACATGTTAGTTGTGTTTTGTGCATTTTTACTTTTTATGAATTAAACACACACACACACACACACAAAGAGACTACTCACTGTACATGAGGGTCTAGAAAGCTCCCATGCAGATCATTTAAAAGTGAGGCGAGCTGAGGCAATGTGGTTACTGATGCAAGTGAAACTGTCTTCTAAATTGTCCCAGATGTTTCCTGTACATGGTCATCAATGTTACTGTCCTTCATGTTCTATCCAGACTGTTCCCATTAGCTTACGGTCGTTGTGCGAGAATGCGTTTGTACCATGATGCATTGGTGCATCTGCCCTCCAGTATCTCTGGACTTGGTGAACAAAGACATCGCGCTAACTCTGCAAATCCCCAGTCTGCTACAATGTGGCAGAGACACAAGTGAAGATAACGTGTGTGAGTGTGTGTGTGTGTGTGTGTGTCTGGTCTATCGTCTCAGTGTTAACGGCTCCACGGTGCTGTGCGTGTCTAAGTGCTGGGGCCGCAGCTCCTGGCAAACGGAGCCACTGAGCAAGATACCATCTGCCTCTGCCCATCTAAGAATCATGCCAAGATCGACACACACACACACATACACACACGACATGAATCGACACAAACACGTTCGCAGAACCTCCATGTACAGCAGGACTCACAGTAGAAACACCTACAGACATGTATATGAACAATATGAAGAACGGGCCAAACGTCAAACACATCTATGACCTGGAGGCGGGTGATAGGCTGGAGAGGTTGGTGTTGGTGTGTGTGTGTCTGTGTGTGTGTGGTAGTTCTTTGTATAGCTACACTTATGGGGACAATACATGGGGATACTCTTTGCAGAGCTGTGCTGAGTGAGAGAATTTTTAAAGGCCACAAACATTTAATGCCACACATTTCAAACATTATACCAAAGAGGGAAAAAATAAATCACAAAATACATTTTTCTACCTGAAGGCAACACCAAACGTTATCAAAATAAAGTTCAATAATTTGCCACCAGATCTCCTGATGAGGACTTTACTGTTGTTTTGCTGTTAGCAAGCAAGCTAAAACTTTAGACTGACTTTGTTTTTGTAAATGTGTTGTTTATTAATAAAACAAGTTAATCTGATGTAGCAGCCCTGAATGTTTTTTAAATTTATACTCAGCAATGTCAGATTCATCTGGTCCATCCACCAACATAGTGTGAAAGTATAAGCATGTGGCTCAGGAGCCACGGGTTGCAGACCCCTGGGTTAGAGTAAGGGGCAAAGGAATACAATATGTCTATTTGCGTGTGTGTGTGTATGTGTGTGTGTGTGTGGGGGGGGGGATTTGGGAGGGTGGCGTGAAGGTGCATCATGTGTAGATCATATGTGGACGAGATAAAATGGCAACTGTTGCCTTGTTCCATCAGTGGAAGCCTGAAGAGGTGGGATCATCAGGGCTGAGGAAACGCTCATACTTGTGACGATGGTGTAGAAGAACCACAGTGGAAACAATGAATGAAGTGAACTGTGATCCACATTCATTCATGAGTAGCTTGAGGTCTGAAGCCTGGAGATGGATGAGGCCTCCTGTCTAGACGAGGGTAACATTTAATAACACTTCAACTAAACATGAATTTACATCATGTTGGGTTTGTTTTTATGACCGTGATGAATCTGAGTGACGGAGAGCGGTTGGTCATTTTTTGGTTACATCAGTTTTTACAGATGGTAACACAGATTCGTTCTCCTCCCGGTTTTCTCAGCAGCAGTTAGTTTCAGTTCCTGACTGGACTAAGTCATAACCGGAGCCGACGGCCAATGAAATATTTTTTTTAATTTAAGTACACGACTATTTTAAATGTGTTCAAATCACATATGACATGAGACAAAGATAAGATTCATTTAGTGAAACACAGAGGAAAGGAGTCGCTCTTGTCGACACATTCATTTTAATTATTTAAACCTCTTCTTCCTGTGTAATGACCTGGACATTAACCAGAGTTTGAACCAGACAGTCAGCGTACTACATTCAGCACTCAAAAAAGTACTTATATTTAGTGTTGTTTGTTTTACCAAATTATTACTGTTACTGGTCTCTGGGAGTAAAAAAAACATGTTTAAACACAGTCAAATATCTAATCAGGAGCCAAAAATGTTTCAAATATTTTACCTGTACCTAAAGGAAATTAACAGATTTATTGTTTGATATTTTTGAGATTTTCTAACACAACCCAAAGTAGGGCCGTAACAGAAATTTGATTTATTTTTTGAAATGACTAAACTATCCTTATAACAGGATCTGTGCAGTTTTTCAAATGGTCTTAACAGGAATCAAACCCACAGCACAGGCTCACGGCCATCGCACGTTAACTGAGACGGACAATCCTGAGAGACCCAGGTCTTTTTACTCATAACATGTCAACCCTCTGACCATTCATGTCACTCTGCTCCTCACACACAGGAACATTTCCTACATGTTAGAGCACAGAAGTGCTGTGCTATTAGATTAGCCCACAGAGACTGAAGCCTCTCTGTCTGTATGAATGAATGAATGGGGAAACCAGCAAGTCCATCACATTCCCTGAGGATGATGTCCTCAGCCCGGTCAGGGCGCA